GGGGGCATGCAAGAGGCAGCGGATCAATGACTCTCATCATTGATGTTTCTGTCTCTCTCTCCTTCTCCCTTCCTCTTTCTGAAATCAATAAAAACATATTTCTTTAAAAATGTAGGAGGGCTGGCACGCACGCTTCTGCTTAGAGATCTCCAACGGCTTCTCATCTTACTCAGAAGAAATGGCAATGAACATAAAATGCCCCAAAGAGGTCTAGGCCATCTGCCTGTGCCCACTAGTCTTCATCTGTTCTGACCCTCTATCCCTCACCTCCAGCCACCCTGAGCGCCATGAGTCTGGAAGGCACCAGATCCTGTACTTTCTCAGGTTCTGGTGCCTTCTTTTGTTGCCATGGATGCTCTGTCCTTAGATATCCCATCCCAGCTCTTGGCCTGTTTCAAGTCCACACGACAGCTTCTCAACAAGGATTCCCTGCTATTACAGTCGCAACCTCTTCCCAGCTCACAAGCCTATTCTCCCAGCTAATGTAAGAAACATTCAAACCTCTGAAGAATTTTTGTGAATCTGTTTGAGCGAAAATGTCAACAATTGCCAGGAAGTAAAATCTCAACAGATTGAAATAATGCTCCAGAGAATGGCAGTTTTACATCTTGCTTTATAGATTACAATCAAAGGAGAACTTGAAGTGGGTTACAGGAAATCCACTGGTGATAGATAGGAGGCGGGAGAAAGCCAAGGGGAAGGGGGCAAGTATGGGATTGGATAAAAAGCAAAATGACAGACATAGGTGGGTACAGGACAGTTAACAAGATAACAACAACAAGGAGAGGATTCCCGGTCTCAGCCTCGGTGCTTTGAGAGCCCAGAAAAAGGGGAAATCACTTTGTTTTGCAAAGGCATGTGTTAATTGGGTATGCTATCTCAGATGCAAAAGAAAACCTACAGCTTTAGTTAAGGTGAAAATTAACCTTTGTTAGGGAAAATACTGCCTTAGGGTGTGGCTACCAACCGTAAACTGCTTATGTTTTAAAAGTTTTAATTTCAGATCATCCTTTGTGGTTATGTTAGGTCTCTGAGTTTGCAAGGCCACCATGCAGGCCTGCCCTGAGCTTTTCAGGTTTAGTATGTGGCCCCTTTTCGTCCATACCCCCAACACTATCTTTTGTCTCAAAAATTGACCCTTGCCTAATACACAACACAGAAAAAATATCTTGCTTTATTTCTCTCTCCACCTACTAGACTGTAGGCTACTTGAGGGCAGGGACTTGTCTTGTTTACTGTTGTACCCTCAGCTTCTAGAGCAGTGATTTTCAACCTTTTTCATCTTACGGCACACATAAACTAATTACTAAAATTCTGCAGCACACCAAAAAATATATTACATTTTTTGCCGATCTGACAAAAAAATAGGTATAATTGTTATTCATTCATACTGGATAGCTACTGTGTTGGCTGTTGTCATTTTTTTAAATTTGACAATCTAAGGGAAAAGAGGTCAGTGCCCCTAAGTAGTCAGGTATTGCATGTTTTAAAAATTCTTACAGCACACCAGATGAAAATCGCTGTTGTAGATCAATGTTATAAAAAAACCCACAAAAAACAAATGAATACTCTTGATATCCTTACCCTATCATAGAGGAGAAAATACATGAATTTAACAACTTTAATAAAATCAAAATGGAAATGATTTAACACTATTATGCAAGCAAATATATGTGGGGGTGTGTGTGTGTGATGACAAGCGTTTTGTAAAGATGGATGTGCTGACACCATCTATGCCATTAACACACTTCACTGATTCTAAGGACATGCTAACGTTTACATTTACCATTTCTGAAATCAGACTGCATCTCCATCAGTAGCATATCCTAGTTTGTTTGGCAGCATTTTTTTTATTTGATGGTGATCAGAAATCATGTATCTTATCTGAAAATTAATCAAGAGAAATCTTCTTTAAAATGGAGTCAGGAAGCCCTGAAGAGGGAGCTCTCAAGCAAACACTGTCTCAGTCCCTTACTTCACAATTCTGGGCAGGAAGTGACCCACTAACTACTCCAGCAGGAGGAAGATCTTCTCCTAAACTAGCAACAAGCCCAGCCAATGGGGAAATGCCACAACTCAGGCAATGAGAAATCATTACAACCCCCAACTCCTCCAATGGGTTTTTAATCACCACCCCTCCAACTACCCCCTTGTCCTTTACAAAGTAATGTTTCTCTCCTTTGTTTGCAAACTTGCCTTTGGCTTTGCCATAGCTTGTTTGTCCTGAATTGCAATTCTTTACAATTCAATAAGCCCATGTGGCTGGTAAAATAACTTTGTTTTATTTTTAAGGTTAACAACAGTTGATGGCATGTTAGGTTTAATGAAAAAATTGTTATTTCTTTTCGTAAGCTGATTGAGGCCCACTAAATTTATTTCACAGTTCACAAGTAAATTTTGGCATTTTGGCAAATGGATTAAGACAGGGATTGGGAAATTGGTCCAACCCCTATTTTGGCCTAGCCAGCAATTTAAGAATGCTTTTTATAGTTTTAGGATGGGGATTTTAGTTGGTGGTGTTTTGTTAATCCTCACCTGAGGGTATTTTCTCTTTGATTACAGGTAGAGTGGAAGGGAGGGAGAAAGAGAAAGAGAAACATCTATGTGAGAGAGATGGATGCACCCCAACCAAGGCCAGGGCCCAAACCTGCAACACAGGAATGTGCCCTTGACCAGGAATCAAACCCGTGACCCTTCAGGCTGATGCTCTAACCACTGAGCCACACCAGCCAGGGCTTAGGGTGTTGTTTTAATTTTTAAAAGCATGTTTACCCTGTCAGCATGGCTCAGCGGTTGAGCATCCCATCCACCTATGATCCAGGAGATTATGGTTAGATTCTCGGTCAGGGCACATGCCCAGGTAGCAGGTTCCATCTTCAGTAGGGGGCGTACAAGAGGCAGCCAATCAATGTCTCTCATCACTGATATTTCTCTCTCTCCCTCTCCCTTCCTCCCTCTGAAGTCAATAAAGATATTGATAAAATAAATAAATAAAAGCATATTTAATTTTTAAAAGTTTTAAATTTTTTGGCTAAAATATCCAAAGGAATATTTTGTGACACATGAAAATTCTGTGACAACCCTGGCCAGGTAGCTCAGTTGGTTAGAGTGCCACCCCAATATGCCAAGGTTTCTAGTTCTATTCCTGGTCAAGGCACATATAGGAATCAACCAATGGCTGAGGAACAAAATAGATGCAGAGACAAAGCAGCATGGAATAGACTGAGGGATCTCAGAGGGAAGGCAGAGGTGGGGGAGTAGGTGTCGGGAGGTTAATCAAAGAACTTATACGCATAAATGCTTAAACTGTGGACACAGTTAATAGTATGGGGAAGGCCTGGGGTGGGGTGGAGGAGATCAATGGAGGGGAGAAAGGGGACATCTGTAATACTTTCAACAATAAAGATAAATTTTTTAAAAAAAAGAATCAACCAATGAATGTGTAAATAAATGGAACAAAGAATTGATGCTATCTCTCAAATCAATAAACAAAATTTAATAAAGAAAATTAAATGACAAAATTTGATTGGAACACAGCTATGATCATTTGTTTAAGGCTGTTGTCCACAGCTGCTTTCACATTACTATGGCCAAGTCAAGCCATTGCAACAGAGACCACATAGCCCATAATGCCCACAATATTTACTACCTAGCCTTTTACAGAGAAAATTTTGGGGCCCATGGTTTAAGAAAACAAAATGGAAGATACCAAATTTCCTAGCTCACCGGTTCCTGAAGTTATGTATCCAGATGATTCTGTGTGACTCAATATTTCCCACTCTGAGCCACAAGGAAGGGCGAAGCTGGAGTGTCCTTGTCTACACGTCTGGAAAAAACTTCTCTAAAGTCCAGCACTACTTCCTATGTCTGCGGAATTCTCATCTTGCTCTCCAGAAGCCTAAATGAGGCTTGATCAGAAGATCTTACTCCTTTTAAAACCCATTATAATCCAATCTATCACATCCAAATGGGAGTGCAATCAAGTTCCTGAACAAGCTGATCCTGATTGGATTTTTGGCTCTTGTCTAGAAAGATTGCTGAAACCTTCCATTCAAATTGCCAGTCAAAGGAAAGAATGTGGGTGGGGTTTCAGGGCCCTGCTTTCCTGATTGAATCACGTGGTGGGAGTTAAGACACTGGGAAACCAGGAGGGGAACTCCTTTGATTCTACATCACAAGTAAACCACCCTGCCACTTCACAATCTCTTATGCATCGACCCTTGAAATGCTTTTCTCGCAATCCTGTTGGCTTGAGAGTTACTCTCTGTAGTCACCATGCGGGCCTAGCAGCCTCAAGGACTCCAAGTGTGGGCTCCATGCGTGAGCCTGGGTACAGTAATGCAGCACTGGCTGGAGTGCAGCCAGGAACAGGGACTAAGCTAGCCAGCTGATGGCGACAGAGACTGAACTGGACTAAGCATTGGCGTGGACTAAACCAATAGCACATTTCTGGGTCGTGGTAAATTGACCAATTGCTCCTACTTCTTGGCTTGATGAAGACAAAGCTGAAATTCTTCCACAATGGGACAGAGCTGAACCCGGGGCAGTCCTTTGTGTGTGTTCTAGCTTCAATAAATCTAACCACCATTCCTCATCCTCCCTGAAAGAATGGTCCCTGAAATGCTTTTCTCCCTACACCTCAAGGATCCCCTTTCCACCGGCAACTGTACGTCTATGAAAACAACAGGAAAAGGCAAAGTTAATAATCAGAGCAATTTATAAAGCAGTTTCTGAGTCTGTAACGCTGTCAGTCGAGAAGATTTCTACTTGTTAGGCTCAAAGCTTCTTTTGCCGAATCAAAGGCAGGCAGCGAATTAGACTGTCCTGGTCTGCAGTTAAAGGTCCCTATGATGTTTTCAGGTGCTCAGGTAAATCCTCTGTGTAGCTTACACAGCATCAGTCACTGAGATTGTTTAAGCATGAACAGTTATAGCAATTTTTGTAAAGTTTGTATAATGTCCTCTAGCTGCTGTCTCTAATTGCAAAGCTCAGAAAAAAGTTTCAGTTCTCAGTAATTCCAAGTCAAAGGATGAGAGAAAAATGAAACATTAGTTCAGAGGGTTGTGACGAAATATTTAAGAAAACTAGAACAATGCAGGATCCAGTCTGATTTAAAGGTGAAAACTAAAGGCAACTTACTAGAATCTAAATCCATAACTAAATATAGTTCGTAGTTTATCTTTCTAAAATTGTCTTCATTTTTATTAAAGGTAGCCAAATTAAAACTAATTTATTTATGGCATAGTTCTAGTTTAATGAATTTGGCCTGGTTATTTGCATAAACACAACAAGAATAGCAATTTATCATATAGGCTCTTTCAAATCTGCTTTACTGGAATTTCATAAGGAATCTCCAGGTTGAAATATAATTAGCCTCTCAAGGCTAAGAAGCCAAGCCACACAGCTACCATCAGGCTTTGCCTGCAGTACCTACAGATTTGGGTGAATTCTTCAGGTTCTTGAGGTCCCCAAAATGTCTTGTGGAAAGCAACCTTTGTTTATTACCTGAAAAGAATACTGTGAACCATTTAAGTAAAGTACAAGGATATTTTTCCAGTGGGCTTTTATTGGCTTCCAAAATCAATTTTAATTCCTTAAAGCTTTCAGATGATATCAGAGTCTATGTATGTCTCTCAAACACAACATTCCAGCCAAAGCCTTGACTAATAAAACCAGTGCCCAATTGTGTCCTGTTACAAAGAGAACATATTCTTACTGAATTTATGCCAACAAACGTATTGTCATGAAAATAATGATACTCACTCAATAAAAGTTTCTAAATTCTGGAGGGATCGAATGTTTCAGTGCTGCTTACAACGTTGTAATTTACCAGTTGCTCTTCTAGTTCGCCCTTTACTCATTCAGATAACAGACTTTCAAACAAGCCACTGTCTTTTTAATTTCCTCAAAAATGTATCACTTCCATACCTTGTAACTTCTATTACCAAAAAACATAATTTCTTTCCAACTTAATTAGACTTAACTCTTAGAAACTTTAATATCTAGTGACAACTAAAAAGTAAATAACTAGCATTCTTTAGATTGGCAAGTTATGAGTATGTTGCATAACTTTTTGAAACATAGGCTTTCATTGGCAAATTTACTCACGAATTTTTTAAGAACCATATATTTTAAATAAAGTACAAGACATTTATTAACAGATCCAAATTTATCTTTTAGCCTTTCTGTATAAGAAACCAAAAGTAGTTAAATGTAGATTAATCTACTGATGTTTTAGGAACAGCAGGTACTAGGGGAGCTTTTAAAAAGTAGTGGTGTCCTGGTTGAGCTGCTTGATTCTCCGCTAAAACAACAGAATCAGTATCTCCGGAGGGTGGGGCCCAGGAGTCTGTGTTATTAAAGTTCCCAGATATTTCGAATAAACAACTAAGAGGAAAACCCCTATTCCAGTTGGTGATGGCCCCTGCTCAGCATTTACCAGGTAAAGTTCCCTGTGTGAATGAAGCCCTCACCAATGCTCCTTGTAATGGCTTTAACTGCATCCCTCAAAATGTATATGTTGAAGTTCTAACCCCCCAGTTCCTCAGAATGTAATCATATTTGGAGGTAAGACCTTTAAAGAGGTGGTTAAGTTTAAACTAAAACGAGGTAATCGGACTGGTATCCTTATAAAAGGAAATTTGGACATACAAAGAGATACCAGGGGTGCTTAAGCATAGAGAAAAAAACCATGTGAAGACACACTGAGAATGCAGCTATCTGCAAGTCAAGGAGAGAGCCCTCAGAAGAGACAAAACCTACTAGCATCCTGGTCTCAGACTGCCAGCCTCCAGAACTGTGAGAAAATCAATTTCTTTTGTTTAAGCGACTCTGTCTATGGTATTTTGTCATGCCAGCCCTAGCAAACGAACACTGCCTTGAAAAGGAGCCAGTGGAGAGGTCTCATCTCAGGGACAGGTTGGGGCTGTTGTTAGGTAAAAATAAAAGGCCAAAGTGAAAGGCAACGAGCATTTATTTGAGATTTTAAAAAAGCAAAGCTATTTGGGGCATACGGATTCAGGCAGAAGCCCCAATAGTATTTAATTAGGAGATACAGGCAATAGGGTATTTATGAAAAGGGGAAGGGGAACAATTACATCAATAGAAGGAAGGCATTTCTATTGGTGCAGGAAACATAATATAGTGTCACTAATTCTAAACAATATTTTTAATTGTCAGTTCAGTAGTCATTAGTCTGGTTGTTATAATACTTGCTTTCTTGTTATCCTGCAAAGAGTTCTTTGGGACACGATGTTGCCCCAGGGTTATTTTGTCCAGTTTTGACATTCTAGAGGTTTGAGGCATAAGATGTGTAAGGCACTTCCTCTCGGATGGCAGCTCTGACTAAATTTTAAAGTGGCTCTGTTTACATGATTTTTTAGGTGATAGCTGAGCTCCCAGGTGGCTCTTGGCCACAAACAAATGCCCATCCACCCTGATTTTTCAGGAAGCAGCCTGCTCCTCCCTTGTACTGTTTCCTGAGACCAATTCAACTCTCTTTCTGGACCCAACTCCTTTCCTTTTCTCTCCTAGGCTGTGAAGTACAGAACCCTGAGGACAGAGTTTTATTTTCATATCATCCCAGATGTGAAGGAAAATATCTGTGCTCTTTTCATCTACTATAGCTAAAAAAGGGAAGAAAAACAAACTATAGCCATATAGCAGTATGGTCTGAGAGCTAATTACCTGACATGCCAAAAAGCCTTAAAATGTTCAGTTATGAAGACACAGAGGGCACAAGTTCAACGTGCTTGCAGACGCTGGGAAGGTCCTCTGCAGATGTTAAGAAGGTTCCCACAGAGAAGGACAAGATGCCGTCTGCAGACTGAGCTGAGAGAAGAAAAGCTTGGAAGGAATTTGGGACTGTGGCCAGGAAAAAAATCTGAGTAGAGGAGAGTTAGAAAGGAGGCGTATGTTATTTCTCAGTTTTCTGTGTCTCCAGAAGCCTCCACAAAATGAGCCTTGGGCATGGGAATTCTCTGGAGTCAGGGAGAGTATGTCTGGTTCTGACTTATTTCAAAGCCTGCCACCATAGGGGCTGCTTCTCACCAGCCAACATCAAAATGCTTCTGGACAGCATGCTGGGCTCAGGAAATTGCCTGTTCCCACCTTCCCTCCCATGGGCCATCCCATGCTCAAAGGGGCCCAGAGAGGCAGCTCCTTGACCTCAACATCATTTCTGAGACCCAAGGTCATGACCATGAGGGTGATATGTTGTCAGTCTGATTATCCACCCACAGGGCTGGGCACCTCAGACAGTCTAAGGACGTTGTACAGGACTGAGGAGTTGGTGCCGCCTTACACGCAGAACAAAGCTACATGAAAAGTGGATTCTGCCCTGGCTCGTGTTGCTCAGTGGTTAGAGCATCAGCCCATGCACCAGAAGGGTCTGGGGTCCTATTCCCATCAAGGGTGCATATCTGGATTGCAGGTTCAATCCTCAACCCGGTTGGGGGGGGGGTGCGGTGTGCTGGCAGTAACCCTATCGACGTGTCTCAGACACATCCATGTTACTCT